TAATACCATGTTTATATCGTGATATATATATATATATATATATAAACATATGAAAACATTTTTATTTTATCTTATGAACAGTGTTGAACAGTCTATCCAATTCTGAGTTTGCGACTATCAATGTTCAATGTAATTTTGAAACCAATCCGGAAGACAGGGAAACTCCTGGATCATTGGGAGCAACTAGTCTTCACGGAGGACTTTTTGATCGGATTAACAAGCATTTTCTTTACATGGAGAGGTAAACCATGAAAATCTCCCATGGTTAGCCTGACGGTAAGGAGATTTTAACCTTGATTTGTCTATCACTGAGGATATTTTACGTTAGCACTGTGGTCGGTACGAGGTGGGAGCAGAATTCGTATCAATCAGTCATCTCTGGGATTCGAACCTGGTTCACCTACTTGAAATGCGAATGCTCTATCCCCTGAGCCACACCGTCTTAGATTCAACTTCTATAGTTTCCGTTGCATGCAACTCTCTTGATAGTGTTTAAGGTTTTTAACTATTCAATGTTAAATCTTGATTTATTAAGGAAATTTTTTGTCTCCCACACTGTGAGAACTGTTTTGTAATATCTCTCCAAATGTGATGTTAAATCATCGAAAAAATTACGCGAAGGAGCACTTAATTCTTGATTAACACCGAATTGAGAGTTCCTAAATGATTTAAAAAGTGTATTTTAAATCTAAACACTTGCACCAGAATTAACCAAGCTAACACCAATTTTTTCCTAAATGCTTTAAAAAGTCTATTTTAAATCTAAACACCTTTACCAGAATTAACCAAACTTACATCAATTTTTTCCTAAATGAATTAAAAAGTGGATTTTAAATCTAAACGCTTGAAGCTGAATTAACCAAAATTACTCCCATTTTTTTTCCTAAATGATATAAAAAGTGTATTTTAAATGTACCAGAATTAACCAAACTTACACCAATTTTTTCCTAAATGCTTTAAAAAGTGTATTTTAAATCTAAGCACCTGTACCGCAATTGACCAAATTTACTCCAATTTTTACCTAAATAATTTAAAAGTTGTGTTTTACAGTCACTCGAAAAAAAAATTTTTTTCCTAACTTAAACAAAATGAGAATTATTTTCTTTTCTGAAAGCTCTGATTGTTGGTGCGCTACTTTTTTCTTATCGCCAGAAGTTACGTTGGCAATTGAGAGTTAGTTGTTGTTTATGAATAGTTGTGATTTGTTTGAATAATTGGTTGTTTGACGTTAAAATAGATACGTATGTTTTCAGTTGTGTTATAAGGATAAATATATTTTATTTTTTAAATATCAGTGAACTGTATAAAGTGATTTTTTAATCCACAATTTCGATCTGCCTCAATTCGAGTTCAGCTTTGTTCAAGTTCGATTTTATGTTCTCTTCGCTACACGTAAGTTTGATTCACAAATAAATTTTATTTTTAGGAATTATTGTGCATATAATTTTAAATTAATGATTCTTATTTTATATTGCATCGTTGTAGCGTAAAATTACATTTACTGACTCTTATATGAATCTTATCTTACAATACTTAAGAATTTTAGTTGTACTGAATGTAGCAAAAATGGTGGCGATTATTTTACTCCAAATAGTGTAATAGAACATTCTTGGTGTGTTGGAAAATGTGGTGTACAGTAGGTGCTACAATTTTTGGTGTCAAGATGCACAAAGCAAAGAAAAAAAAAACCCGGGTACAAGTACCTATTCGAATAACCATTTCTGTACAGTGGTTATTAATAGCAATATAATTTTTTGATCATTTATTATTCCCATTTGTTATTAAGAAAAGTATTTTTAATAATTAGCACTAGTATTTTAAATACTAATGCGACAAATAGGACTTTTATGTAAACTTTCAAGCAGGTGCAAAAGAAATTTTTGTTTAAATGAAAAGCCTATCTGTGAATAATTACGGTACTAGTGTAATAACAATTAAAAAAAATAGTGCAAATAAATAACTAGTCTATAATTACTTCAGTACAGCGGTGTGTATATTTTATTTCTCATCGTTATAATTTAATCAAGTAATTGACATCTGAAAATATTGGAGTTTTGGGATAATCATCACAATCGTCTACATCCTTCTTATTTTGTCAACATACAGCGAAAAGTTTGATGAATTTGTATTCTAAGAAAAGCTTTCTTTACCATTGAAACTTTTTTCTCCAGCTATCCATCTTTTGTTGTTTCTTACCATTGTTAGAAACTCCTTTGTAAATAGTTACTTCTATTCACTGTATAGTCTGATTTTAGACAGGTATATCCATCTCTTAACCAGCAGGAGTTGCATGGATCTGTTTAACCAGGGGGTTCGGACAACGCGTGGAATACATTATTACTGAAATCCACACAGACAGTTCTGAGGAAATTTTGGATCTTTTTAAAGAAGTATGAGGATTAGGTGCAATTTCTTATTTTCTTGGATTTGTTTGTAATGTGTGAAACTTAAATCTTTTGCTTCCGGTGTAAAATGTCGAACATGCAACTGGTTTAAAATAGATGTTCTTGGGTATATTCTTTATGGAATTTTAGTTGTTAAAAGTCATTATTATTGTAAAAAATTGGTTTTTTGAACCGGAAATAATGGGAGTTGGAGTATTCATATACATTATTTCATCACAAAATGTAAAACACGAATCATAACAAAATCGCAAAATTTCAATGTATTATAAGTTTTAAAAAAAAATAAATTGTGTCTGTGTGTTTGCAGATAAAGATAAGAGCATAAAATTTAAATAGAACAGTTACTTGCTAATACTCTTAACAAATGTCCGAAATCGTTAAGTTATACTAAAATATTGCTATTTAGACAAATGAGGAATTGTTTTCAATTTTTTTTACACTGAATAGAATAAAAATAATAATTGATAGGGCAAAAAAAAAATTGATAGGACAAATAGTTTAGAAGTTCTATCAAGTTGTTATTGCCAGAAAATTCAACTTTGTACTTATTTATTTACGTGGTTAACTTTCTCGCCAGACAACGAGGCATTTTTTTAAACGCAACATTAAATCAAAGACAACATCAAAACTAAGTCAATATCATATACCTTTGTCAGATCGACTTAATTCCGATTTTATTTAACGTAAAGTAGTACATAAGAAACAAGGCCTCACATGCCTAAATAGCAATGTCAGTCTCATAAATAGGTACAACTGAAAACTTTCTTATCTCTTATAACATCTACACAATTGTTTCGGTTGATTTGGTTTTGATCCCATTCAATTTAGAAAACGAAAACATGTAAGAAACAACAACTCACTTGCCTTGATAAACTACTGAAAGATTCTGGATCAAATTACGGCATCACCCGTTAAATCCATTTTAAAGTAAATTCATTTTTTTACCTTAAATTATTATACCGTAATTTTTACTGAAATATTTTTCATTAGAGTGATTCAGTAATTTTATAGTAAATAGTACAGCGAAAATTACGGTATATCGGATTTTTTGTTTCATAATGTGATGATTTTTACGGTAAAAAGTACCGGTATCCTGATAACCGGTACTTTTTACCGAAATTCTGCACAAACACTTAAACATGTTCAAATACAAACTGTTCTTCGTACACACAATTTTTTATAACTTTTTAAACTATGACTCCTATCGACTTGAGATTGGTCTACTACGTAAAAAGTACATCGGGAACAATACCTCATTTGTCTAGAAAACAATACTTAAGTCTATCCCTCATTTTCCCCATGTCTTCCCATATTATAAACCAGATAGAATAATAAAGTTCCCCACTATTTTAATACCATGTTTATATCGTGTATTCTGTAAAAAATTCCTGATCAAATTACGATATAAAGTAACGGCACTTTAGATACATCCTTCGTAAAATCCATTGAAGCGTAATTTTTTTTAGTTATATTTATTCAATTAGAGTGATTCAGTTATTTTACGATATTTATTACTGCAAAAATTACAGCATAGGCGATTTTTATTCCGGTAAAAAATATCGGCATTTTGATTACCGGTACTTTTTATCGCAATTTGACCCGAAAATTTTTCACGAAGTACAAACAAGCATAAAACTGTCACGCTTTTGTCACAAAGTGCACATTTATTATACATTTTTATTTTGAACCGCTCTACTTTGGCCAAGCGCTCTACTATAGCAAAAATCATGTGATTTACTCCTTTTCTTGTGGATATCCTGTGGTTGTCCTGCTGAAAGGGACGTACTTTACAAGGCCAAATATAGCGAAACCTTCGTGTTCATATCTGCGTGAAAGGCTAGACGAAGCAGATAAAAACTTAAAAGAGCTATTAATTTGATTATACACTTTTAGGGGACTTTTAACTTAAATGCACGGACTATTAATAATAAACAATAAACATCTTTGTACGTGTTTTATCCTAACACAATGTCAACCATTGTTGATGTTAGGAAAGAATTTCCGCTACTCTCTATTTTAATGACATCTTTTTTAGTAATCTGGGGTAATAAAACTCGTTCAGAATGGCATTTTAAGTTATTTATGCATGCGTTCAAAATAAGCGGTTTGAAATTTGGAAGACGACGGAATATTTTAAATATATCTGCCTTGTTTTGTGATATCTACATTGTTGTGATAAAGTTCAGTGGTATTTAAAATTCAATGTTCTTTATATTTGTAAACATAATACTAAGAACATCGAATTATTCTCTTTAAGAATATTTTAATAAAACTTGTTCAAAATCGCATTTTGAGTTAAAACCAGCTTTTGAAATAATTTGAAATTTCGAGATGACATTATTGAGTCTTTTCAATATGCGATATTTGCTTCGTTTTATGATATCTAAGTTGTAGTGATATCGTTCAGTTGTATTGAAAATTCGATGTTCTTTATATTTGTAATCATAATGTAAATAATGTCGAATTTAATTATTCAAAAGTATTAAAATAAAACTCTTCCGAAATCACATTTTAAGTTATCTCTGCCAGCGTTTCAAATAAGCGTTTTGAACTTAGGAGACGACAGAATATTTTAAATATATGTGCCTTGTTTTGTGAAATCTACATTGTTGTGATATTGTTCAGTGGTATTTAAATTTGTAAACACAATATAAATCGAGCTAATTTGTTCAAAAATATTTAAATAAAACTCGTTCGAAATCGCATTTTACCAGAATTTAAAATAAACGTTTTGAAATTTTTAGACAACATAATTGAGTTTTTCAGTAAATTTCCTTCGTTTTGTGATATCTAAAGTGTTGCGATTCAGTTGCATTTAAAATACGATGTACTTTATTTTCTTAAACATTTTATAAGAACATCGAATTAACGTGTTCAAAATTATTGTAAAAAAAAGATTCCAAAGTGACATTTTTACTTATTTATACCATCATTTGAAATGAATGGAGAAATTTGGAGACTGCATAATTGAGTCTTTTCAATATATTCAATCGCTTAGATATCGATATTAGTTTCAATAGCAAATTGTAGTGATATCGAAACAACATCAACAAGACATCAAAATCAATTTGATTGCCGATTGATGTGACTTGAAACTACACTCTCAGAAATAACTCTCACTTTTGACGATTCAGCAATCCTTGAGCAGCATTTCCTTAATTTTGAGAATCGCTTCGGCACGAAATCACGTGATTAGTGACGAAACGTGAACTCGCAAATGAAATAGTAAATTGTAGTGATATCGAAACAACATCAACAAGACATCAAAATCAATTTGATTGCCGGTTGATGTGACTTGAAACTACACTCTCAGAAATAACTCTCACTTTTGACGATTCAGCAATCCTTGAGCAGCATTTCCTTAATTTTGAGAATCACTTCGTCACGAAATCACGTGATTTGTGACGAAACGTGAACTCGCAAATGAATGACTAAAATGTTTCCTCAATTCGAAACCTATTTGTAGTGTATTGTGAGCGATTGTTAACTAGAATGACGAATTTAGAATAAAGACTGGACAATCGAAAATAAACTGACGAATTACGCTGACCCGGTTTGTATGGTGTCCAAGAAGTTGGCCTTGTACTAGGAAGATCCGGAGTTCAAATCCCTCTTCGGGCATGAGTGTAATTTATTTATCTGTCCTTGTTGCATCGTGCCGTCTATATGGTGCCCACGTTAGTGTTTTTTAAAAAAGTTAAATACATTTGGCATTACAAGTTTTTTATTTATCGTGGAATACTATAAGCATCTACCAGGAAATTGTTTCGTCAAAAACGAAGAAAGTTTTGTGATTATCGAGTATCCATTTTTTGCTTTCTACTTTTTTCTCTTAATTTTTGATATAAATTCTAAAAATATGTAATAATATTCTAAGAATGTAATATTTATGCTACCGACATCACTTTGCAATGCGCTGCTCATACTCTCCAAGAAAAAATCAAAAAACCACAATTTGAGGAACATCATTCAGGAAACAAGATATAA